AAAATTGAAATTAAATATTCCTGAGTAATTCATTAGAGCAGTTTATCAGGCAAGTAAGCAATAGAAACCATTTTGTTACTTTATGCAGGTATAAAAATGTTTACTTTTCAAAGGAAAGGTCAAAAATCTTATTATACCATTCTGTTCTGTAATTTAACTGGCAGAAAGATATCAGGCAGTTAAACTGCCAGATATCTTTCTGCCAGTTGGATTGTTAATTGGATTATCTAACGACAAGAAATGGTATGAACCTAATCATACTGTAGAGCAGCTCTGCAAAAGGTATTAAAATCTTTTAATTATTGTGCGAAAAGATCAATTTTTTAAGAAAAAAATATTGATAAAACAAACTTTTGTCAAAGTTTTAAGTAACTTATTTTTCTTAAAAAGCAAATAATATTATATAATTTTATAATTCAATATAAAACTCAATATTTATTTTTATAAAAAGTGATTTGTGAATATTGAACGCATTGCTTTTGTTGTCTGAAATCCTAATGAAGTGCTGTGGCGTTGAATTCTTGAACATTTTAAACAAGAATGTGTTTCGATGACGGTAAAAAAAACAACTTGCTTAAGCTTTAAAATCATCATTTTTAAGAATATTTTTAGTAATAGTCTATTATTTATTCAATCAAAATTAAACAAATCAGACTTTAAACTTTAAGGACGATAGTAATAAAATTTTTTTAAAGTTTTAAAAAACATTTTTAAAAGTTTTTTTAAAGTTTTAAAAATGTTTTTTAAAACTTTAAAAAAACATTAAGTTTTTTAAAACATTTAATTATATTTATATATTATTATATTATTTTAAAACATTTAACTATATTATATATTATTACATTAACAGAACTACGAACATTAGGATCAGCCAGTTTTATTAACGCTGGCATAGTATCTGGTGGAATAAGAATTTATATATTATTTATTCATTTATTAATAAATGAATAAATAATATAATATATATATATATATATATATATATATATATATATATATATATATATATATATATATATATACATATATATATATATATATATATATATATATATATATATATATATATATTATATATATATATATATATATTATATTATTTCCCTATTTTCCTATTTATGAAAAAAAATTAATCATAAAAGTTTCAGTTCTATTTGGATAATTAAAAGTTAAAAAAATCATCAAAGATTAAATAAAAAAAGACATATATAAATTCATATATTCATATATAAATTATTCAAAGATTACAAATGTCTATTTATAAAAACTCATATAATTTAAAAAAGAATTTGAAATTACTTTAAGATGTTAAAAATCTAAATACTCCAAACGCACTTAGAAAACATTAAAAGAAATTGGTGGTAAGCAAAGCTTAGGTTTCCTACCGCAAGTGAATAAAGTGGATTACAAAAATGTTAATTAAACTTAAGTAAATTCTCATGGGTTTAACATATTCTTTATTCATATCAGGCTCAAAGTGGCCAATAAAATTTCAAAATTGTGTTTAATAACTTTTTAACACCAATGTATGATTTGCTAATTATGTCCTGAGATATCGTTTGAGTTACAATTTAGGAAATGAAACTTATATATATAACTTTATCAACATTTTCAAAAATCTTAAAAAAAAACAAAGTACAATAGATTTTATGGGGAAGCGCTGGAAAAAAATTTGTCAGAACATGCAGTACGTAAAATTAATTATGCTTTTCGTTTTTCTTTTTTCTAAAATGAGAAAGCTTAATATTTACAAATTAAATATTTTTAGCATTTTAAAGATTTCAAAGATTTATTTAACATAAAAACTTAAAAATAATGAAAAATACCAAACTTCTGTCTATGCCTTTTTGTTTAACATATATTAATGAAATATTTTTTAAAATTTTATTTAGGTACGCCAAGAAGTATCTATGGTTTTATCAGAGAGCACAGACGATGAGCATTTAATAGAAAGTTCACGCCGCCTTCCAAACCGTTGTCGCAAAACTTGCCCAAAGGTGGCGTTTGAACCATGGATCCTTTGTTTCTGGGGCAAGTACGCTACCACTGCGCTACAGCAACTTAAACTTTGTATTGATTATTGTGCGCTCCATTACTAGAACAAAATTGTTTTGTCTAAAATTAATTTTAATCTACATACTTTTTTGCATCTTTTTAAAAAATTTTTTTACATTGTCATAATAACAATATTTACATTGTTTATTTTGAAAACCCGTTTCTGTGTGACATTTATTTCAAAATTGATATTATTATAGATTATGAATGACAAACTTTAGCCTCACCGCCTTAAACAGAAACACGTGAGCTATCAAGTCTTTTAATGGGTTGTAATTTGATTAAAATTTTTTTAGAAACCCGTCAAGTGAAATAATATGATTGTTTTCTGCAGTAAATTTTTTGTTCATCTTGTTTTGTTCTCATATTTTAGTATAGATGACACTAGAGGCGATTCTACTAATAAAATGAGAAGGGAGGGGTTGAATCCTTAAGAAGTATAGAATGTTTCCTTAAAAAAAAGTCCCTACAACTAAAGTTCACTTAACTTAATTGTGTCAAATTCCCAGTTACCCAAATATATTCGTCAAAAAACCGACTATAACTTATAAATCATTTTCTTTGGAGGAAGAGAAGGAGGAGGGAGGAGTGGAACACTTCCCTCACACACCTCTGGATGGCGCCACATTTACTACCTATCCACTCCTACAATCTTTTTGGTTTGTCGGAAGTGAGAGATTGAGTATCTACTGGTTTTGAGACATTATTTCAAATAGACAGTTGTAAACAACAGTGACTTGAGTACGTGATTTATCATGTCTTCAAGCCATATTGGTACTTTATAATTATTGGTTTAAATGCACATTGAAAGTAGTTCTAATGATGACAAATAAATGACACAAAAAAAAACAAGGTATTGTAAATGAAGATACGTATAAACGTAATATCATTAGGAAAGCAAAAGTAAAAGGTAATGAATATACAAACTACAAAGGTGACATTGTTTCTATTAAATCTATCCCTGATGAACTGGTGTGCTACTGTACCCAAAAATGTGTACCCAAATTTGATATTGATAATGAAAATGATAACGAAAAATGCAACCTGAAAAAGTTTGAAAAAATGAACAAGATTTACATTTACAAATATTAATAAAAGCTATGAAAGTTAAGCGTAGAAAAAAGAAAAACTTAGATGCTGCTGCTTTATGTTCAACCCAAAACCAACACAAAATAAGTAAAATATTTGAGTACAAAGTGAAAATCAATGATAAATTTTGTCCAGTTTGCAAAAATGTTTTTTTACAAATACATGGTGTTTCTCGACCGAGTTGTAAGCCTATTACTGTGAAATCAATGTTTACTGTAGCATCGATTTTTTCTCTCATATCACATGTCGATATGAGGGGAAAAATCGTAGTAGAAATACAGTCAATAGCAATATGTGTATGGTGAACATGACTACATTGCAAAATTTAAAGCGAAGGAAACATATTATGCTGTTAGAATAAAGCAATATTTGAATGCAGAGTTAAATATTTCTAAAATGTTTGGAATGTTTCAAACGGACCACCCTGAGTTAAAAGATAAAGTAAAATATAGCTTTTTAAATTTTTGAAGGAAAATATCAGTTTGTCATTCGGGCTGCCACAAATTAATGTTTGTAGAGAATTTGAGAATTTTAAATCAAAAGTTGAAGAATCTAAGTGACAAAGTAAAGTGACAAAGTAAAGCGCTGTTTAAATCTATTTTTTGTACATAACAAGAAAACAAAAAAAATTGTAATGTACCTATACCACGAGGTGAAAGGCAATAAATCCCCAAAGGAGGTTTGGTCTATAGTACTACGTTATTTCAAGGCACTTTAATGTTTACCATTTAAAAAAAAGTATTATCTACGTTTTTTGTACTTGCTATTAAAACTTTTACACGAAGACTGTCAATTCAGATAAAACCTCTGAAAGAGAAATTCGAAAGGAAAATAGAATTTATTTTAAAGTATCCTTTTACAACAAAACTGACTTAACCTGGTTACTTAACACTTTATTGACGATTTCTCCTCCTCAATGTTTACATCAAAAAAAAAAAAATATTCAACAGTTCCAGAGCTCTTAAAAGTTATCACATGTATATCTGCAAAAATAGAAATAAACAATAAGGAAATCAATGACCTAAAGAAGTTGGTCAAGTATACTCAGGCTTATTATCAGTGTATGACAATGAGCCTGAGTATACTTGGTATACTAAAAAAAAATATGTTTTATGTTATCTAGTTTATTTTTGATTACTTCTTTATTTCGCGTTCCTCTTTTAATAATAATTAAATAATTAACTAATACTTATACTTATGAAAAAATAATGAATTCAATTCATTGTCCTCACGTTAAGGGTAGGGGGGGGGGGAGACTAAGATTTTAGAATTTTTTGTTCCTTATACACATTATATCATCTTATATCACATTATTTCACCTTATATCACATTATTTCATCTTATATCACATTATATCACCTTATATCACATTATATCATCTTATATCACATTATATCACCTTATATCACATTATATCACCTAATATCACATTATATCACCTAATATCACATTATATCACCTTGTATCACATTATATCACCTTATATCCTATCAGAGTAATTTTTTTTTGTTGTGAAGAATTTTTTCGTCATACATATGAACATATAAAAATTTGGAATGTTCTTTTTATTTATAAGTTGGTTATTTCAAACATTTAAAAATCTTCTTACGCTTTTGATTTTTATGCTAATATAAATTAAAATCGAGTTTGTGATTAAAAACACGCCTGGATTGAAAAGTTTATTTGAAATTTATATCAAATTAGTTTAATTGAAATTATGATTAAAAAATCATCTAAAATAACATTTGTAACATTTAGATTTTATAAAACCCTAAAAACATCAAATATTGACATCTCGTCTGACAATCTGTCATTGATAATAAAGTGTACAGATACCTTTGGATAATAAAAGATACCTTTTGAGAAAATCTCTTTGAGGTAGTTGTAATATCAGGTGAGATTGAACTATTATCTAAATGTAAAACTTATTGAGTCACTTAAACAGTACTTATTATTAAAGCTTTAAAGTAGGATTAAAAAAAAATGTATGTATGTATGTATGTATGTATGTATGTATGTATGTATGTATGTATGTATGTATGTATGTATGTATGTATGTATGTATGTATGTATGTATGTATGTATGTATGTATGTATGTATCTATGTATGTATGTATGCATTTTTATATCCATTAAAAAAATTTATAATTTTTATAGTCTTTTAGCTAAATTTCTAGAAATAAATTTAAAAGATTGAGTTGGAGTTTTAGGTGGAATAAAGATATTTGAAGTTTTTAGATCCAGCTTCAAAGCCTTAAAATATTATGAGTGCCTGAAATTCGTGCTAATTATAGTTTAAAATATAACAGATATTGATCAAATAAAAAAAAACTTACATGAGCAAACTGGAGGATTATTTGAAAAGGAATATCTCAAGGTCGAAGCAATAAAAAGTTCAAGGACAGTGTGATCTCGGACGCATGTATTCACAGCGTAGTTTTTCTGTATAAAAGTTGTTACAGTTTTCACCAAAACGCAAAAACATATGTAAACTTCAAAATAGAGTAAAATTGGTCGAGACATCTAGATTATTATTTTAAATAATTATGAACTATATCACAGGCTTTCACTATTGAACTTTTTTAAAACTTTTTTTTTAATATCCAAAACCATTAAAAAAAAAATTATTATAAAACCTTCTAAGAATACCAATACTTTGAAGGAAGTAATATCTTTTTATCTATATACTCCTTTTAAATATAGCTTAGGTGTTTGCGAACAATAAATTTTTGGAGCGGAAATTATATAAAATAGTTCAAACTAGGTGGCCAAGCGCAACTATTCAGTAAACAAACGTGTAATTAAATAAACATAAATTGAGTCGACAGCAGCGCAAAAACTTAATTTTTAAGAACATTAGGAAGTAGTCTGAAAACAGTAAGTAAAGAAACTCTAGACTAGCAAAATATTTACATTTTGAAAGTGAGTGGGGCAAAACGGGACAGTTAAAAAGCAGCAGTTATCATTTCATGTAAAGCTTTAAAAATGATAAAAATTAAAGGTTACCTATCATTTAAACATGTTCAGACATTAAAGTCTCAAAAAAGTAACATGCCTATATAAACTACATGCCCATACACCCATACACCACAAAAAAGAAACAACAACTAAAATAAAATAAACGTTTTTGTGTTTTATTATAAAATACCTCCGCTCCACTCTTATCAATACATTATTAAATTGGTAACTGCTACTAAATTTAAAATTAAACAGAAAATATTATGGATCACATAAATCACTCAAAAAATATCCTGACATTATTTGGCAACATTTTTGATGAGCTAGCTTAGTAGTAATATGCCAATGTAGAATAAACTTTAATATGCCATACGTATCAGCTGCTTTTTTAATTCCAAATTATTTTTTACGCAGCTAAAACTGCGTTTTATCACATTTCGGACAATTGATCTCTCTTATATAATTTTATATAATCTTAAATAATCTTACCATCGACGTTTATATTAAACACAATATATAATCGAAGTTAAGTTATTAAAAAAAAACTATTTCTTTGAATTTATTACTAATTCTAATTTATTCTAAATAAGGAAAATAATATTTGAGATAAAAAAAAACTATTCAACAGTAAACAGCACGAAATAAAAATATAAGTCAGTTATAGAAATAAAAATATAAGTCAGTTATAGAAATAAAAATATAAGTCAGTTATAGAAATAATAATATAAGTCAGTTATAGAAATAATAATATAAGTCAGTTATAGAAATAAATTGCTGTCCCGATATGCCCCACAAATGCCATTTTACTGAAATTAATAGTGTTCAAAAAGTTCAATTGCAGAAAGTGGATAAAAAAAATACTGTCTGAAAAGTAAAAGCTTTTTATAAATAATGTAAATTTAAAATAAATCTTTTGTCGTAGTTTCGCTTAAAAAAATACGCACAACTTGTTTTTTGCAAACTTACTGGCGTATTTTGGTATTTCTAAAACTAAAAATTTTTATAATAATGAAGCAAAATTATTTAAAATGTTTTATCAAAAAAAAATTTTGAAAATTTTTTTTTTTCCACTGCACGTGCAATCATGGAAACTTAAAAACTTAAAATAACTTAATAATATTTTATTTTTTTAAGTATATAATAAGTTATTTTAAGTTTGCAAGTTAAAAATAAACTTAATTAGCAAATTAGAAATTAGCAAATTAGGACAACAACAAACCAATTAAAAAAACAGATAATGAATTAAACATATCTTGCAAGATTCAGTTAAAATCTTCAGGATGAGTTTGAATTAATTTTGTTCGGGTAGCAAAAGTAATAGTACTGTACAGAATGGTTTGATTGCGATACATCATCAAGCAACTTTTAGAAAATTTGTTAATACCTTAGAACCAAAATTTAAACCTAACTGCCTACTTAATATAGCAGAGCAAACAACATCGTGGGGCCAGGGGCGACTGTGCCCCTCCATTCCATGACCTGTGTCGTCGGCCATGTATTAAAGTTGCTGTTTTAACAAGAAAACTTTGTCACCTCATATCTGTTGGCAGGCGTTTGGGTGGACTAAAAATAGACTTACTACTTCTTTTTTTGACTTTAGAAAAATTAATAAATGCTCTGCTTAACTTGTATTTTGTGAAACATTTACATATATAGGAACAAGTTGATGATCGTATTGAAAAATGAAGTAGTGAAGAATGAGAACGAGTTGATTTGATAGTTGAAAACAAGGCATTTAGAAGATTAGTATGCTCACAAAATACAATTAGATGTAAAACTTGCATATGATGTTTTTCTTCGGCATGGCAGAAAGTTGTCGACAAAAGTGATAAGACTGTAATCAAAGGCTGTGATCAAAGACTGTTCAGAAAGATGGAGCAGCGCTTACTTTATGGTTAAAAAACCTCTGGTGGTCTATCAACGAAGAGCTTGGAGAAGTAAATATTGGTTCACTTGTTAATAACGAGTGGATATTGCTTTAAAATGTAGTTTATCCTCTAGAAACGTTTTGCCAATTATACTGATAATCTACAGACAAATTCACTTTTTTTATCAAGTGCATTTCCTTCAATACTGAATTTAGAATGCCATATTAAGCAATTTTGAAAAGCAAAAGTGCAGTCTACCCATATTTTACACAACTAGCCGAAGACCTTATTGCATCTCCTGCAACACAAAAATATGTTTAAAGACTTTTAATAGATTTTTGATCTGTTTACAAATTGACGAAGAAATCAAATGTCAGCGTCATTGGAATTTTCTTACAACTAAATTCTTATCTAGATGATAAACATTTATATGTAAATTATTCAACGTCAATACATCTATTTAAGAGTTAGCCAGATTTTTTTTATTTCAAAAAGCAGAATATTTTTAAATTTGCAGTGACAGCAACATAAATCTCACACTTTCATGACCAGTTGGTTTTACTTTTTTGGTACCAAACTTATGTTTTGTAGCAATTTTTATTTTTTAAAGCATCAACAAAGTTTACCTTATTGAGTGGTACCACTCATTTGATATTGCTTATTTTAATCATTTAGCAGTCTTGTTTACACTTTTGTGGAAATTCCAAATGCACACATCTACTTGTTTTAAAATAAACCTCAGTCCATGTATTATATCAGAAGTAAACCCTTCTGTTTAGTATTTAAAGAATGTTCTTTCATTTATTGGCAAAATTCATCATATATCAAACATGGGACGTGGTAAAGAACAAAAGAGAACTTCCATAAAAGACGCAGCCAAAATATAAAGAACAAATTGCTCAAAATTTAAAAATTAATTCGCCAGTCAGCTCTGTCATAAGTCGCTAACACAAAAATGACTTATTTGGAAGTGTTACCCAACAAAAACCATTAGTTTCAAAACTTTAGTCTCGTCAGCCGTTTGAAGTTTGAAAAAGAGTACTTACACAAAGCGTTTAAAAAAAATATGCTTTGGACTAAAAAGTTTAAGTTAAATTATTTTAGATTGAATATTTTTTTATCGGTCACAAAACCAGGAAATCAGACCTTGGTACATTTTGAAGATTGTAAAACATGGTCGTGGCAATGTAATTGCTTTAGGTACTTTTTTATGGTGAGACGTGAACCTGTTCTATTAAATTGAAAGGAGAATAAATCAACACATATAAGATAAATTACGAGAAAACGAGGCTGAGGTAAACCTCTCTTTGGTTTTTAAATTACTACAAGACAACAACTCTAGCACACTGTGAAAAGTGTTAAAGTGTGATTTATCGCTAAAAAAATTGATGTTTTGGAGTTGCCCACACATTCACCAGACCTAAATCCGAATGAAAACCTATACAATTTAATCTTGTCCTATAGTACAAATGTTGAACAAAATGTTGTACTTTAAAAAAATGCTGATAAATTTTCAATTTAGAACTTTTCTTAACTGAAAGTCATTTTAGAACTAATGAATTTATTTTATTTAATGTTTTAATGAAAGTTTTTCCAAAAAAATTGGTCTTTAATACTGAATAATTCTCTAATTTGATAAGTTATCTGATTTAAATTAAATCTCATAATAATAAAGTCAGGGGCGCCGCCATCATTTTTTGGTCTTATAGAGATAGCTAACTTCCAGACATGGAGCAAACTCCAAACATTTATATGTTTATACTTATGTCAAACAAAGATGCTTTGCAAAAACTTTTGATGATTGGAGTTTGGGAACAAAAATGCCCCAAAATATTGTCCCCCCTTGCCCAAAACGTGAGAGCAACAAGTTCATGAAATATTTTTTGTACTATTTTCAACTAGACTTATATTCATCAATAAATTTTAAATTTCATAGTAAAATATTTTAACGTTCAAAAATTATGACCATGTAAAAGTCGTGGCGCAGTGATTAGAGCGGTTATATAAATGTTTGGAATTCAAAAAATGCTGGCGGCGTCCCTGACTTTATTATCATGAGATTTAATTTGAGTCAGATAACTTATCAAATTATCTGTGCGGCCATGGCGCAATGGTTAGAGCGCTTGCTTTATAAGCAGGAGATCCAGGTTCGAAACGAATTTCGGACATATTTCCCGTCACGGTAAGGAAAGAGACCTAAAATTCCTGGTTAAATGCACTTCCGCAGTGTTCTGTGACAAGACCCTTAGCACTTCTTGGGGTACCTAAATAACAAATTAAAAAAAAAAAAATAGAGAACTATTTATTGATGAATTTAAGTCTAGTTGAAATTAGTACAAAAAATATTTCATGAGTTTGTGCTCTCACGTTTTGGGCAGGGGCTTTTTTGTTCCAATCATCGCAATTTTTTGCAAAGCATCCTTTTTTTTTTTTTTTTTAATTTATTTTTGTCAAACAACGATTTACAAATTAAGGTAATTTCCGATAAAATATTTGAAAATATTAAATACAAGTACATTTCATTATTTATAGTAGTTACAAGACCGGAGAACCTGAAGAAAATAAAATCTTATCATCAGTAACTTTTGGTAATAAAATATTGGAAATAAAGGTGTATTGTTAGAAAAAATTATGTAAAGAACCTTGTTTGGCAATAAGTTCGATTATGTTCTTTTCAAATTTTTGAGAGGTATTGGC